GGTGCTATAGAAATAAACTGAATTGAATCAGTAAACTGATCAGTAAACTGCACAAACTACAACTTGGGTCCCTCCTTTGTCTATGGATCAAGGACTTTTGGACTAACCTCAGCACCTCCATGTCACCCACTATCTTGTTCAATAGTGTTTTGAGGTCTCCCCAAAGGTAACTTGAGATCTCCTAAAAGGTAAGAGGTCCAAGTACTATTAGCTTGGTGCAGCAAACACTACCACAACTCAGGATCAAGAAGACTAAAATAAATAAAAAGGCCCAAGTATCGAAGGGGAAGTAGGTCACAAACTTCAAGTTCAAAGTATTGCACATCTCAGAGGACCGTGCTCGGAACAATAACATTACTTACATTGTTAAAAAAAAAAGCCAATCTGACCTTTTTTTCTTTAAAAACACAAAGAAGGACCAAACTCCCCCAAACTCTGCACAATAGACTATGGTCTAACTTATGGATATACAGTGAGGTACAACAGTGGCAGTTCAAAGGTCACTGAGACTGACTGCTCCCTGCTCACACCACAAGGGCAGATCTGTTAGAGCCATGGCCATGGAAGCTGCTTAAAGAGATGCAGCCAAACAAAATGTTGTTGTATCCTGCTCAACAGTAAAGCTTCTTTTGCAGATAGTATCTTTTCTCCAGCTGAGGACATACATTTATATTAGATCCAAACAAAGTCTCTCTGGATGTGTTTTGTAGAGCAACCAACGATGGAGATGCAGAATTATGAGGAGATCTGCTGGCAAAAAGTAACAGAAACCAAGGTGTGCATGGATCCTCTGAACCCCTACAAAAAGACAACCTTCACTGAGTGCTGCTGTCGGTACGGAGAGGGCTGGGGATTGGACTGTGCCTTATGTCCGGACCGAAACTCAGGTGCAGAACAAAAACACACACATGCTGTTACAAGTCTGTGGCACACCAAGTACATTTACTCCTTACATACATTTATCTAAATGTAACAAAGACGTTTTTCAAAACAGCTGCAAATTAAGAAAAGCTACAAACTAGCATATATAGGCTAAATGCACAAAGCTGCGTTATGCCGCTGCAGGGCGTAACGACAGGCAATCAGCAACACATGACCACCTCACAATCAGGAATCATGAGGTCGGGAGAAAATCAAACATGTTTGAAATTCAGTTGGCCGTCATAAGGTCGCATCAGATCTTAAGAGCACAAAGTGTGAGAAAATACATAGTGAGCTGTGAACTTTTATACCCTGCGGGTTCGTCATACAGTTTGAGCTGTAGCTGCGTGCAGCGATTGAAAATATCACACAGTGCATGCTCGGCTTTAGAATTAGGATTTCTACAGGGATAACAAGCTACTAAGCCTTCTTAAATTAAGTGTATTTTCCTTTAATATGAGCAGGTAAATAAGTTGATCTGCCAATGGAATGAGTATTTTTACTTTAAAATAGGATAATTAGATAATATGCACTTGAAATAAAACAATTTTCTTATTTTAAATGTAAATTGTCACGTTCCATTGGCAAAGTGTCTCACTTACCTCCTCAATTCAAGAACGAATACACTTAGATAATTTCAGATCTACATATTCCTATTGTTACCGGTTCTTTTTTGTATTATTTTGACCAAGAAGAAATGTATTTCAGATATCATTAATACATATTCAGCCAAGATGATAAATGTCTGAATGGCCACTGGGTATATAAAAACTTAATTCTTACATGTGTATATTTTTTCCTGAAATTTAGTTTCTGCTTCAAAAATGTAATTTAGAAAATAAATGATTATAGCTCAGTCTAGAAGTGTGATTTTGACCAGGAAGAGTCTTATTTTAGTGACCTGCAAATGGAACAACAGAGAGGAGACCTGCTGCGCAGCGACATCTTATAAAGAACAGAGCTAAAACTTAAAGCCTTTCTCCATGAAGCTCTGTGGAGTTACCCATAATGCTCGAACATTTCATCATACATTGTTTACCCACACTTTAGGAAGCTTGAGTAAACAAAGCAAAGCCACTGTGCTTAGACAGAAACGGAAGTTTCAATGCCATCTGACACAGAATGTGGAAGTGGTTCTTGCATATAGCCAATAATGGAGGTGTGCCTGACCACTAGGGGGAGATGATCACCAAGGTATTTTGAACCAGAACACAGATATGACTAAGAATTCATGTTAGCTAAAACTAAACGGGGAAGCCATCCAAAGGAGGGAAGGGAGCAAAGTTTTAAATATGTTTTTAACATTTAATTTGTGTAAACTTTCTGTCTATGGGTCTGGTCCCATATGAGTTGCTGATGGTCTCACCTAGTGGTCTGGATCTCTTCCATTGTGCTACTTGCAACATTTATCCTTTGCAGGACTTTGAAATCAGGTATTTACGCAGGTTTTGCACCTCTTGGCCTTTGTAAGAATCAGTACCTCTGAAATTTCTTTACATTTCATTTATGATCATGAATCCTAAGTTGGGAAATCTTAACCAAAGTTTTAGATTTAAATTAAATCCAATTAGTAATCTTGGGAGAGAAAAAAAACACCCTTTACAAAGAAAATAATGACATTAGTCTTAAATGTACGTATGTCAAACCTCCCCCTCCCTCATTACCCATCTATCAGAAGTCAAAAATAATAAATTTTTGTTTGACCTCTCTGCTTTCTCTTTTTGCTCTTCATAGATGACTATGCGTCCATGTGTAATATTCCTTTGGGTGGGAGGCGGCAGCCATACGGTCAGGACGCCCTCGTTGCCGGTTCAGTCCATGAGTACGAAGTGGACCCAGACTACTTGACTACAAGTGATGAGAAGAATGTCCAAAACTTTTATGAAAATGAAGAGTGTAAGTATTTGCTTTTACCTCAACCTAGAATGTCAAACATTAACTTGCTTGGTCAGATTAAATAGTTATTAGATGTCTGAAGGGACTTCTAATGAAGAAGAGGCCAGAAGGTATACAAGTCATGTCCAACCCTTTCTATGCCCTAACCCTAAAACTAGCCCTAAACCTAACCATTACCAATGAATACCTCACCCTAACCCAATTGACACCTGCGCCCTAAACCTAATCGTTAGCAAAAGATAGATAGATAGATAGATAGATAGATAGATAGATAGATTGATTGATTGATTGATTGATTGATTGATTGATTGATTGATTGCCCTGTGTAACGTAAAAGGGTCTTTTCACAGATATTACAAAGACACTCAGACCGCGTTTCATCCCCCCAAGCTCAGCATGTCACCCTCAGCCTGAACATAGCTGGAGTTCATACAAAACTCTTCATACAATAGTCTGAGATTCATTGAGACCCACTTTTACTGGTGGTCTCAGTCAGCTTCTAAACAGGCCATTGTGGTTTTATTCAGGCATTAATACACGTCTTTCTTTGGATTTAGCAAACCAATATAGTAGTAAGCATAGTGTCAAAATCCTGCCAACTTTGCTGTCTGTTACTAATCTGCCTCAGCTTGAAGGGCTCTGTCTATCTATCTACCATTCCATACTCCCCTAACTGGTAAACAGGACCCCAAGATAATTGAACTCGTCCAATTGAGGCTGGAACACTCCTCCAACTTGAAGGGGACAAGCCACCTTTATCCGGTTGAGAATTATGGCCTCGGCTTGGAGTAGCTTATCTTCACACTCAGCTAAGAACCGACCCATTGCTGTAGGTCTTGGCAAGAAGGAGTCAGCAGAACTTTGTTATCCATAAAAGCAGAGATTAAACCCACTGCTCCCCAAACCGGAACCCCTCCGGTCTTTTGCTGCCCATATAAATTCTGTCCATAAAGATTGTAAACAAGACAGGTGAGAGAGCGCAGCCCTATGATTTACATCAGAAACTTTCTAAATGTTTTATTTTAATGTAAAAAAAAAAAAAAGTGATTGCCAGAGAAAAATGTATGTTTCTGCATCTGGCCTCTATGACTGCAGATTATGAAGCCAGGCCTTCTGAAATCTAAGTCTACCATGTAGGTCTGACTGAGAAAAAATAATTAGCGCTACAGATACAGCTAATTCTAGGACTGTGATGGTGGGAATGAGTGCCTTGTTGCCCAAAGGTAAGCCCAATGATGGAAAAAAGTCTCCCCTAATGTTCAAGATGTGTAAAGGGGCAGTAGAAACAGCCTTGAAATATGGACAATTCTATGCAGATCAAAATGAAAAAGATATTTGCCTGTAGTGTTCTCTTTAGTTCTGTGTCACAGTCTTGAAGAAGTGAATAAAAAAGGAAGTTTAGAAGATCTGTGAGCAGATTCATTTAAATGCGGCTTTGACTTTGTACTTAAAATGTTTTGGACATGGAGGAGAAGCAGCTTGTGGAGTTAGGAAGCTGAGGCAGAGGCATTTCTTGCAAGAAATAAGGTTCACATTTATTTAACGTCCTCGGATGGAGAGATAGAGCCCTCTAACTGCGGCAAGCTCAGTACATACATTTATACCTTATAAAATCACACTCTCCCCCCAGGGGAACGAACCGGCCCCCTAGATTAAGACCTTTCTCACACTTCAACATTTGGTTATTCCCAGAAAAAATAACTGCAGTTCATCAAGGATATCAATTTTAGCCAGATAAACACTCAGAACAGGTCTACCCGTTCACGGCATGAAGGTGGCGTGTGAACTCATTCTTATCTCTCATGACCCTCAGTTCACCCTTGTCTAGAGTAGGGAGACATCTCCTTTCTGTAATCCCCAATCTTAACTCCATAACCAAAATCAGTCAAGAGATCCAGAAAACTCACAGTGACCGGTCCGATAGGGTTCAGACAGGCTCAGAGAATCAGGAAGCAGTATCAGGTCAGAATCAGGCAGGCAGATGGGCGTAACGCTGGAAATTTACTGGCAAAAGCTTTCAATAATCTGGCACTCTAAATTAGTCAGCAAGTAGCATATATAGGTGGGAACAAGTGGAGGGAATGAAAACTGATGAGGCAGAGTGGGAGCTGCACCATTTGAACTGAATTAATAATCAGGCATAAGGGTTTAAACAGACTAGCTGACAGGCTCGAATCATAACATTTATGAGATTGGCAAAAGTAAAACATACTCTGAGAGGTTAAAGTGGCAAACTATTAATCGGCAACCTTTTTGAGGTATGCGATGAAGTTAGAGTTTAAAGTACCAATCTTACTAGGATAGTTTCTGGCTTTATTTTATTTTAATAATTATCTGCTTTATCAACTCTGTATGAACTGTAAGTTTAAGTATGTTTACATTATGAATTCATATAATTGTGCATATACTATAGTATGTTCAGGTATATTTTAGCATGTATGCACGTATATATATATATAACCTAATTAGTGTACAGTGTCATATCTATTTAACAATCGTTTTCTTCTGTGGAGAAAAAGATCAGATCTTTTTCTGTCTCATTACTTAATTTGTTCATTTTCTTTGGGTGGGGCTCAATGTTGTTGTAAACCTATGTTATATTGTTAAAAAAAAAAACCTCAATAAACCAAAGAAATCAATGCAGGTTTGGGACAAATCTAAGAACTTAATGCGTTTCTGGCGTTTTTGTGCTACAGATCGTTACAGTGCATTTGAGGGCTTGCAAGCAGAGGAATGCGGGATTCTTAACGGATGTGAGAATGGCCGGTGTGTCCGGGTTCAGGAGGGTTACACCTGCGAATGCTTTGAAGGATACACACTCGACCTGTCCCGTATGGTCTGCGTCGGTAGGAGAGCTCATCATTATGTAAACACAGCCCCGATGTTGTTCTGCTTTATACCAACTATGTCTCTCTGTCTGCAGATGTGAACGAGTGCTTAGAGCTGAACACCCGGATGTTGTTGTGTAAAAACGGAAAATGCATCAACACTGCGGGCTCCTATCAGTGCGAGTGTCTCCCAGGCTACAGGGCTTCTGACAAACCCAACTTCTGCGTGAAGTCAGACACACATCAAACATCCACACACACTCAGTGAGAAGAGGTGGAGACCAGTGGGGAGTGAGGGCCACAAAACCTTCACGCACAAGCTCCTTATTGTCATACTAATGAGGACATCCATCAGTATCCACAGCACTGAGTAGGAGAAGCAACAGTTAGCTTTCCTATTCACATGGTTCAGAGGATTTGAACATAAAATCCCTAATATTGCTTTTCATTTCTATCACCATGGACGGTTTAATTATGTTTTTAACTGCAACATATAAACAAACAGAGAACCAGCTGCACCTTCTATCTTTGTAAAATTAAATTATTATGCCTGAAAGATAAATTGTTGTCCAGTTAAGTTTAACAAATAGATTTCTTGTCATTTCTTATGGTCAGATATGGTGAAAATTAACTCTGTTCACCAAGGCTTTAATGGAAAGGATGTTTCTGATTTATTTTTGTTGGATTTTCTGTTAAGTTTAAAATTGACTTTGGTTTAAACAGTTTATGAGAAACGATGGAGAATTATGAATAAAGTCGTAATATAATGACAATAAAGTCGCAATAATATTAAAGTAAAATTGCAGTATTTTCAAAATAAAAAGTTATTTTAATAATACCAAAGCTTCAACAAAATGATCAACTAAGATTAACCAAAATGCAGCCCGAGGAGAGCATTTTAACTCAGGGGAAGTCAGAGACTCTTTATATAACAGCTTTATTATATTAATGTTATAACTTTAATCTGATAAACATTAATCTTGCAGGGTCTCAAAATTTTTTTATTTTAATCTTCTGATGTATTTTTGCTGTTGAGTTACGACTTTATTCTCATAATATTATGACTTTTTTTATGGTACTACTTTAATCCTGTAATGTTATGATTTTGTAATCATAAGATTCCTATTATGATTTTATGCTCATAATTTAAAAATGATATATTTCTTATGATGGCCCTTATATTCTGTTGTAATGGGATTTGCTTGACCAACAAATCTGATTTTCTCTATTTTGAAGTATCCTGTGAAGTTATCAATTAAAAACACTAATTTTGATGCCAAAGTTACCTAAATGCACAGGCTGTTGTCAGAATTTGTATTTATTGAAGACCTGGCTTGGCTTGGTCAATGAGAAGCTGTCTTGTAGAATTTCAACCAAAAAAAAAAAAAAAAGCAAAGAGTTAAAGTGAGTTTTAGATCTGAGAGGAGCAAAAACACATCCAGCATGTTTTTCTGTCTTTCATCGCCTGACTTTGACCCAACCCCAAACCTTCATGCAGTTCAGCATTTTTCAGAAAAGGCTTTGCAACACACATGCACGCACACATGCATTCAATGACACTATTCAGCTCTGTATAAAGAAAAATGGCCAAGTTAAACTATAAAGTTAGGTGCTTGCAGAAAAAGTTATATTCGGTTTATTCTTTTCTAAATCCTTCCTCAGTGGTGCTTTATGAGTCAGCAGATCCAGTTTGGGACTTATAGCTTCTTGACAAACCCAGCAAATGAATTAATGCTGGGTCCTGAATTAATGCTGGATCCTGTTGTATTTTGCCGTCCTTCACAAGCATTGTCCTTTTTTTTTATTCTGCAAGGATTCTCGCTCTCCATACAACCTCCTTCTCTTTTTAGGTATTCTGGGAACAAACTATTAACTGTCACACCACAGTCGTTGGGTCACTTGGTCTGTAAGGATCTCTCAGCTTTTGGGAACAAGCTTTTCTTGGGGTTTTCTCTTTGACGTGTATCAACAGTCAGACCAACAATTAGACGACTGCAAAACATGGGATGAAATTAAGCTTCATGATTCCCACAAAGAGTTCAAAGAGCTCCTGATCTCTCTCCCAGAGACTGAGACCATTTTTTTCTGACTGTTTTTTACTGTAAAATGTTGCCAGGTCGCCACATCCGGTGACTGGAAAAACTAAGCAAGTGTACATTTAAACTAAAGAGTGGAGATAATAGCTTATGTATTTGTAATTTGTACATGAAAAACAATGCATTTCTTGTGAAATAATAACAATGTAAGATAAAACTGTTGGTAATAAATGTTGATTTATAATGGAACTTCGTTTTTCTTTTTTCCCCATTTGAACTCAAAATGACCACGTCTTTAGTAAATGTCCTCAAGAGCGTCTGTGGTCATTAACGTCTTTATCAATTAACATCTGTGATCATTAAAATCTAACCTGTGACATTTGTGTTATTAACACCTTTGGTTATTAAGATTTTAATGAATTATCAGCACAGATTCTGTGTTTGCTATCTTAGGCATTGGTATATCAATGTTTATCAATTATTAATTACTGTATTTTTCTCGTCAGTTTATTGTTATATACGCCAACATGTCAAATAAGTCAAGACTTTTCACTTGAGAGTATCACTGTATCACTGCTGCCACCGTGTGGTTTAATGCAGAACTGCTTATTACCCAGGTGGTGAATTATGCCCAGATGAGAAAAAGGGCCAATCCCAAACTAGCCCCTAAACACTACCCCTACGCACTAACCCTACATTTGTGCGTTCCCGTGGAGGGCCGTCATATGAAGGGCTGTCCCAAACCACAAAGTGAGTGGGACGAGTGGACCGTTCAGCCCTTAAATAGTCTGCATCAGTGCAGACTGGCTGGAAACCTGCATTTAAATTTAAGTCACCAGGTTTGCTGCACCTTTGTCAAACAATTTAGGAAGAAGAAAAAATGAACCATTCTTTCACAAAAGGAAGGCGCTCTTTAAAACAGCTTTATTTCACTGTGTAAATTAAATTTCAAGAAAGGGGCAAATGTTTGATTTAATGCCAGCCCATTGAACAGCATTTCATGTGTTTGTTTGGAGAATAAAGGAGCTGATGGATTTGCAGGTTTGCATTTCTATCTGTTTCTCATGTTTTTTTTTTTTTTAGAATGACAAAATCTGTTAAAACCTAACTCATACCTGTCCCCTACATGCCCACACAGTTGGAAGGTGTAGAAGCTTAAAGCAAGTAACATGAAGGTTGTCTAATGTTCCTTACCTCTTGCAACCTGCCCTACAGAGCTACAGCCATGCACATCTGGTGCCTCAGTGTTGCCATAGCAATGACTTCTTTCCTTTTCTGGAATCAAATTAAGATGTCTTAGCTTCTGAAAAAAAAAAGCCTAGAGATTAGATTTGATTAGATTAATTATCTCTTGATTAAGAGATAATTAATCCATAACTAAACCATTTTCTCTCTTGTTCGGCTCTCATATGGTGCAGCTTTTTTCAGTTTTATTTTTAGTAGTTCGTGTATGTTATAGAAGTTCAGATTGTCACATGATGTTTGGGATTTTATATTTCTGAGACTGTAGCATCTACCTTCTTTATTTATTTGCAAATCCATTAACGGTTATTAGTCTGCTAATAAATGTAAATTAGTGATGCTATTTGAGTATTATTTATGTATTTTTACAATCATATTCATGTCAAGCATCATTTTATTTTAAAAAAATTACATTTTCAATTATTTCCATTTCCATAGCAACCATTAACAACATGTCATCTTAATGCATTTTACAGAGATAATTCAACCAGATCATACAGTCAGATTGGTACAGAGTTTTCTAAAATGTGAAAAGAATATTCATCTAAAGCAATAATACATGCAACAAATAAGACATTATGAGTGAACAAACAAAATAAAACATGTGGTTACATCTGAACTTATTGCCATCAGTAAGGTCTCCAGACAGGCTCCTCCCCCCTCATGTTAAGACACGCCCCTTCTATGTAATTGGACATGGTAGCAACAATGTTGCGGTCCTCCCCTGTGCTTTGGAGTGGTTGGTTGGACCCGTAGTAGAAACTGCCTGGCTGGAAGGGACCACTGTGGCTCAGCGGAGGGGGACCAGAAGGAGCAGAGGACAAATAGGAGGCGTATGGAGGAGGATGGGTGGAGAAGGGGCCAGAGGGCAGGTGATGCAGTCTGGGAGCAGGAGTGAAGGAGGATGTCAGAGATGTGACCTGACCAAGAAATGAGGGCTCATTGTTCCACAGGGAGGAGGAAAAGGACCTGCAGTCTGAGGACAAAATAACATCATTTTATTTAGGGAACTTTCAAAGGTTCCTCTCATACTTTAGAATAGAACTAAAAACAGATTATTCTG